CAGTCTTGTCTAATGTCGCACTGTTCCTCCGCCACAACTATAGGGAATTACGAATCGGGACACTTGCACCAATACCACGGGCTACGCCCACGTCATAGCATCGACCCTCGGATCCGATTTGCTCCCCCACCGCCGCCACGCTGTCGCAACAATCTTTTTGTCGTATACCAAGATCATCACCAATAGCCGTCCCACGATATTTGAGGCCCGACAGACCTCGCCGACAGTCGGCACAGTAGTGACATCCTCGCTCGTCGTGACCTCCGCGGAGGACGACGGGCGTGGACAACAATAGCCACGATGCCTCTCTACTCGGACCCCCCGACACTGCGCACCTTCGACCAGGACAAACCGACGCTCCTTGTGTGTTGGTGGATCACCATCTTTTGCACCGTCATGATCGTTCTGCGCGTTGTCGGTCGATTCATTCGAACCGAGAAGCTGTTCAGGGAAGACAAGGTCGTTTCGCTAGCTCTGATCCCCATGTATCTGAGGATGGGATGCGTGCACTTTATCCTGCTCTACGGAACCAACAATGCAGACTTTACGGGCGTCACGCTGTCCGAGAAACAACATCGCCAACGACAGATCGCCAGCGGCCTCGTGCTCGCCAGTCGACTGTTGTATGCAGCAACGTAAGTGTCTGGGCCTTGAACTGGCGCTCGCTTCCTCATTCCTCTTCTTCCGTCTGTGTCACAAACAGGTTCGGACGCGCGCTTCGTCTGTATCGCTAACACCCGTCTCTGCAGATTGTGGATTCTCAAAGACACCATCCTAGAGTATTTCCGGCGCTTGACGGAAACCACCTCTGAGCGCTATGCCAGCCAGACTCTGCTCTTCATTCGAGTCGCCTTGATCGCAACATTCATTGCCATTTTCATAAGCAACTTTGCCGAGTGCCAACCTTTCGCCCATTACTGGCAGGTCCTGCCCGATCCTGGCGGTCAATGTCGCCAGGGCTACGCACAACTCATCACAATGGCCACCTGCAACATCATTACTGATCTACTGCTTGTGGTTTTCCCCATTCCCATGGTTCTTCGCAGCCAATTGGGCCTCAAGAAGAAGGTCCAGCTCACTCTTCTCTTCTCCCTGAGCCTGGCTGTCGTTGTCGTTACGTGCTATCGCGTGCCGAATATTCTGCGCGCTCACGGGAATCAGCAACTGCGATCTCTGATGGCTTCTGTTGAACTTTTGTTCGCCACCACAGCTGCCAACTCACTTGTTCTCGGGTCCTTTGTCCGTGACAGGGGTGTCAAGAAGAAGAAGTTCAAGTATGGATCTGTGGCCGTCGACTCCCTTGAGCGGACGATCACGTCGCGGTCCCGTCGTCCGACGCTGCACCGTCATTGGGGTAGTGACGAAGACCTCGTCCGCGACATCGGGCTGGGCGTTGAAGCCGACCTGCAGAACATACCCGAATACGGCGATGGCGTCGTCAGGAGAGGCGCATACACCCCAGCACCCATGGCTCGGAGATTTGCCGAAGACTTGAAACACTGGAACTTTCCTGAACGACAGAGGAGTCATGCAGAGAGAAGTGAGCGAAGCGAGGATCCCCTCATCAACCGTGAACTGCATTCTTCCAGAAGCAACTCGACAACGACACCTCGAAGAGTCTCCTTTTTCGATGTGGGAGGGCTCCTGTCGGAAGAGGGCCAGGATCCGGCGAGCTCCAGCTACGGACGCGACAGCTTCAGGCGCGACAGCTTCATATCGAGCGTGGATCCTCTGTCTCCCAACACCTCGCATAGCCTGCCCTCGCCGGCACTGCCGGCCCCTTCTACTGGTCAACGGGCGTGGCTCAACCCGCACTTCTTCAGGACATGGGGGTTCTCTTTGGGCCTTCAAGCGCCAAACCCCCTCGGCACAAGCCCAGAAGCGGCACCGAGTTGCAGCCGATACCGCAATCCCGCCATTCTGA